TATTAGAAAAATTCAACAATAATTCAAAATTGTATAATAATTGCAGCTAATTTTAATGATTTAAGCATTTCTTTGTGATATTTCGATTATTCTCAAATTGTATTATTACCACAATGACAGCAGATACAACTGCATGATATTTTCCTACAGTTATATCTACTATTATAGGCGACTTACAATAAGGAAGTTTGTACCTGAGCTCAGCTACCAAGAGACGTAAGAAAAAACTTCCTAGTAGTTTTGGTCAGTTCGATGAGCTGCATTGTGCAATTTTATGTATCATTAGAAATTGTAATAAAATTAGAAAATAATTCAAATAATCTTGTAGAATTTTTCTACTGCTAACTTAATCGCATTTCAGTAGAAAAAAGATAATAAGTAATGAATTAGAAGTAAAAGGCAAAAAAGTACCTGAAGTGCTTTAAATATACTCAAAGTAAAGTGCAAGTACAAGTATTTTTGTGAAAATACAAAGTAAAATTGCGAGTGATGTTTTTCGAGTACAAGTATTTCTACTCTTACTTTTATACTTGTGTTTACCTATGCTCTTGTATGAAATAGTGTGATTCTCAAAAGGAAGTGTTGAAAGCATAATTATCCTAAAAAGCTTTTTTTCTGCGGCTAAAATAATCTATATATAGAACTCTAAAATCCTAAAAACTTTTAGTAGGATTTCAATAATTTCTATTTTAATAAAAAACAAGCATAATTTAAAAATTGGGCTTTGTCAACTCTTAGCCATAGGTGTTGTCTATAAAGTTAAAAAAAGCCCCTTTTCCGATCTATCGTTATCAGAGCTTCTTGTATGCGGCGAAAGTCCTCAAGCTAAGAGCCACTGTTAAGAAAAACACGAAGCTTTCATTCTATAGAATGAGTTCTACTGTTGAAATATTAAAAGCTTGAATAGTTTGTTGATACTTTTCTACAAACTATAGATTAGAGACAGCTCTGATAAGCATGTGTACAAATATGTACCGTTCGTGTATGTACATATATGAGCACAGTTAACCAAAAAAAAGATCTTTTTTCATGGGAGTTTACATTTTCTATAGCTGATCGACCATGTCAGAGCTGCATGGCAGGCGCTTGACCATGTTGCTTACTTACACATATGCAAGCAAATCCTGTTCTAAACCTCACTAAATCATGAATTTTGAATCTACATTGAATCTCCCATTATTAAACTAAACGTGTAGATGTATATGCTCCACATATGCATCTATGTGTTTCATAGATGCTCCGACACACGTCCGTCAGATTTTAATCATAGACTCCTAGAAAAAAACACCAAAAGCTATGGAAAACCATTGTTCTAAAAAAAGCAGCCTAGTCTATCAGGAAGTAGACACTTCATGGTATCAGATCATATAGTTTTCTCCAAATCGATATTTTTAACGCAATTCGTCATTTCTAATCTCAGATGCTCTTAAAAGTGGATTCTTAAACAAGTCCAGTAGCTTCCAAAAGACCTGAATTATTGCCGTCTTTCTTAAAACAAAATCAGCACCATTGCTCGTGTGTTAGTATAACTCTCTATGAATGAAACAAGCACAACACTTTATCACAGTAAGTTGAGATGGTCATATATACTGAACAGAACGTTAGAAAAATCGGTAGAAACCAACTAGAAAATAATGATAATGAGGGAAAATTTGATTAGGAGATAAGTGCATTTGTAAAAGTGACTTCTATTCTAAAAATCTTCTGTAAAAAAAAGTATCTTCTTCTATTAGTGACACTTACAAACACAGCACAGTGGAATGAACCCATCTAGGACAAAGAGGGATCCTATAGCTGAACTTACTAAAATAAAAAATGCAGATTAGTAAGCTAATATATTCAGGTTCCTATTGGCAAATCAATTCATTTAATCAATTCACTAGTTTTTACATATGACAGTTTTATCGCAGTCACCCAAACTAATACAAATATATTCGTGATTTTGCTTCGTGTAATTCGACAGTACTCTACTCGACGTTAGAAACTATTTTTTCTTCTTTTTATACTGCTACTGATCTCTCTGAAAGTGTAAGAGTTTGGCAGGCACATGCCGATGCCTGTATTGAGCAATACGTCCCACTTAAGCACGTAAATGTACTGCCAGTGAATATAACACTCTCTCTAAAGACACTCGGTCAAGGATTACGATTGTTTTTTCGACCAGGGGCGTCTTACCAGTCTTAATTGCAGTCTTAACATGTTACAATGAATTAAGGATGTTACAGGAAAGAAAAACAGACTTCCAAGTAATATAAAAGAAACCATACTCATATTTTCACGCCTACGCGGAAGATTAATACAGAAAAGTTTAACACAGAAAAAATAGTCTTTTATGCTGCTGCTACAGGGTTTCCGAATATTCTTAGGGATGAGAGGGTCTAAAATTTTGTTTTGCAGAAAGTGACCGGCGAAAAAACGTTTTCGAAATTTTTGATCATCTCGTTCTTATCCGGTATACCCTTCATTTCTTTCGAAATTATCCAGTCATCGTTCTTCTGGAGAACTGCGAAGAACTGGAATGCTAAATATCTAGAAAAAAATTGTTTCTATCAAAAACTTTAAAAAGTCCTTAAAAGTGCATCTTCATTTTTAATTCCTTTCTTCCTTCAAATTTTTCTTTTCATTTGTAAGCAAGATGAGTGTAAGTTCGTAGAGGAACAACACTATGACAGTTTAAAGCATAATTTATATGTAATAAACCCATATTGTCTCAGAAATAAACTTTTTTTTTATGGGAAAACTATTTCTTTCATTATTTTTCATTTTGTCTGTTTTTCAAATTAATGATCATGTCTGACAAAAACCTTGAACTGCATATGTATCTTTTCTATTATAACTCATACTTCGGTGTGAGTTTTCTCATGTGCCATGGTCTGTTACCAAAATAAAAAGTAATAATAATAATAATAATAATAATAATAATAAAACACATTGTTTTAAAAATAGATTTACTTTTTATTTGTTTGTTGCTTTTTAAAAAAAGCCACGAGACAAGAAAGACGAGAACAGATGAACAAAAAAAAGTACTTAAATAGAAGAAAAGTCACACTGAAAAATATACATGAATGTGCTGTGTGGATGATACAATCAACAATGGATGATACTTCTAATTTAAAAGAACAAAGAGTAGATAAAAAAACATCAATATACACACATACACACACAGAATGAAAACAACAAAAAATGATATTTTGCTTGTATCTTTATTTTCGATAGCAAAGTGTGTGTATTTATTTTGTTCATATTAATACTTTGTTTTTTTCTTGTAAATATATATAGATATATATTAAATTAATATAAATAAAGTTAGAATAAAGAGAGCATACACTTAAACGTCAAAATATATTCAGCAAAAGAGTAATAAACAAATTGAATGTTACAAAATAAAAGTAAAAATACACTCACTACTCACAGTTACATAGAAAGGAAACAACATCAACAACAAAAACCTGCTTTCAGATTAAATGGGAAATATGCTAAGCAAACAAATGCCGTCTGGCGACAAAGAAAATAAAAGTAGAAAAACATAATTTCATGTTTGGGCTATATCTTATTATCGGAGCTTTTTCTAACATTCAAACAGGCGTTAAATACATTTGAATCATTGTCATTGACAAATAAATAAACAATAGCAATGGAATTTGACAGTTATGTAACGGGATATATTTTTTTTAATAAAAAACAAAAATGTCTTATAACAGAAATGAAAAACTATGATTCGCGCATCAGTCTTGTTTAATTATAAAACAGTGAAGAAGAGTTTAATACACACAAAAAAAGAGTAGAAACAAGTCATATCTTGTTTTATGCGTACTGTGTAAAATACAACGTCTTCGAATTAACAGACTGTTTTAAAAAACTAGTAGAAGTAAAAGTAAAGAAAAGTGCACATAGTTTAAAAGATCAGAATATATATGTACGTGTATTAAATAGTAAAAGGAGAAAGAATAATACAGCATGTAGGTTAAAAAAAGAAACAGAAACGCAGACATAAATTTATAATTTATTCACACACACCATGAACAATTATTACGGTCGGGTGTTCGAATGATGTTTAGTTTGATTATGTTGCTGCGAATTAATTGAACCGGTCGATAATATTAGATTATTCATTGAATTTGGAGAATTTGGTCGTAACGATGACGACGAAAATTTAGTAGAAGTTTGTGACGGTGTCAATGATTTACTTGCCGTGTTGATTGGAGTCAAACGTGGGGGTGATGGTGATATATCATCATCTTCATCACTATTGTCCGGATCATCCGTTTCCTGGAACAACAAAAAAAAAAAACATTTCATGAATTTTTGCACGTTTGATAAGCATGTAATGACTCACTTTTATATCTGGACAAAGTTCCAATGCTTTATCGAGTAACGATCGAGCACTTTGTGTTCGTTCGATAAAATAGCTAATCGATAGTAGAAAAGAAAATGAATTTATTTCATAGTTCCATGATCAACAGACGAACTTACCCTTGTGACATATCGTTACTTGGTGCGGGTCCTGATTGAGATGGATAATAAGGATAGCCCGGTACATTAGTACAGGAACGCTAAAAAAAGCAAATAGATAATAGCATATTTTACTGAAATTAGAACGACTATTATTTCCAAATCAATTTATAGAATCCCTGTAGAATTGATAGGTGTTTCAGTCTGTCGGAAAATACCTATCATTTCTTATACCAAGAGTCTAGTGAGACTCTGTTAGAATTGTAAATTTATAGAATCAAAGGTAAGATTGCATGAGATCTTAATATAGGAAATGGTAGAAATTTATTGAAATCTTGTCGGAACATATCTAAAGATTCATTTTTGTCCTTTATTTCATATTTTTCGGTGTTCTGTTACAACTGGAACATTGGTGGTCCCCTAGCTACTCTGACAGATAGTTCTGTCAGAGTGGATAAAGTTCAACTACTACAACCGAGAACATCGAGAAAAAATGCTCAAAAATCTCAGTGTAATACGTATTCTTTGTATGGTGTATAGTTGTCATTGAAAAACAAACGGTGAATGGAAAATGCATAAGAAACTGATAAGATTTCTAGGATTGAAATCCTATCATTTCCTGCTGTATGATTCTATAAGAATCTTACCATTTTCTGAACAGAAAACTGACAGGATCCTAGTATATGATTTCTTACGGGAAATATCGCACGTTCGTATGGTAGGAATACTACAGAACTCCCGATGATCGGGTACCATTTGACCCCACGCAACGGTTCTTATGTTTCCTACAGGTATAGGATAGTATGAGATTCCTGTAGAATTCTTAATAAGCTTTTTGGATATGGGTTGGCTTTAATTATGACTTGTATTTTAAGAAATACGAAAAGAATCAAAACATCGAATTTAGAGTGCTAGTCTGGTAGAAAATGTTTTTAAAGTCTAGTGCTTACATCCAATTGATCATTTAGCCATTGAACAGCATGTGTCCAACGTGATTTTATATCTGGATCAACTTTAAGTAGATTAAGGGCTTTTGGACATCTAAAAAACAAGAATGATATTAAGAAAGAAACGGAAGTTAAAAAAACAGTACAAAAGACTTACGATGAGAATAAGACAACCAACATTTTTATACATTGATATGCTCGTTTCTGATAGGATGATTTTGATTTGGAGAAAATTTCAAATAAACTTTGTGGTTGATCACATACAGAACTTGATGTATTTCCTGATGTTAGAGTATTTGTTGTTAATTCATTGCCAATGATATTATTTGCAATGATTAATTGATTTATTGATGGTATACCCTTCAGTGTATATAACAGTCTTGTTTCTTGCCACGAATCTTCAAGCATTAATACTAATAATAAAACATCGAGTGGGGCACGTAAATCAAAGGTATAATAAGTTGAAAGCTAAAAACAAAAACAATTAGCGAAAAGTAGAGGAAAAAGTTGAATATCAAATACATACAAGACCAATTATTTCATTGAGAACAATAATTGTTACATCAATATTTTCCCATAAAAGAAATTTGAGTAATTTTTGTGAGTCTTCACAACTACTTGAATCTTCAATGATTTTTTTTAACAGTGTATCACGTTTGTAAACAATCTCAACCAACTGTTGAGGCATGTTATGTAATAGTCCACCATCATTATGGGTATAAAATGGATTTGGTAGTAGTTCACTATCAGACTAAACATAGACACAAAGGAGAGTATATAGCCTTCACATTGTAAATAAAAATATTTGTTCTCACATTTCTCGATTTACAATATTGTGTTATATTAAAACATCGAATTAATGTTGATAATATCACAAATAATTTAGTTGATTCCGGATATCTTTGGATTGTCGCACACGATGATTGACCATCGTCATTAACTATCACAAAAAAATTTAATATAATTATCAAAAATCGAATATGACTAATAACTTACCTAATTGAGCAAACAAAGTTGGCACATTTAAACGAATCAGTTGTACACACTGTAAAAAAAGGATCAAAATTGTAAAAAATGAAAGTTTTTATCGCGACTAGTACGTGCCTCATATTGTCCCATTGCTGAATAAGAACAAAAAAATTGAAAATATTGTGCGAGTAATTTAACATTTTCTGGCAAATCTTTCGTTTTCAATATTCTTAATACATAGATTAGTATTCGTTCTTCAACACTCGTATAATTTTTGATATCATCTAATAGAAGATAAAAAAAATATTATTAATAAATAATGATTACCGTCTTTATTGTGTGTAATCCTAACCTGTTGGAATTGATCTACTATGCAATAGTTGTTCATCTTGTCGCGATGATATTGCTAATGAAACAAGCATTTTAGCGAATGCATTACGTATCTAAATGAAAAGAATAAAGAATTAATGATTCTAGATTAGTTGTTGTACCAATATATTCTTACTTCAGCACTTGTGCAATCAATTAAATATTCTTGAAAACGATTTGGATGTTTAAATAAAACTTCTTCACTCATAAAATGCCTTGCTTTACGTGAAAAACGTATATATTGTCCAATTAATTCCGACCAATCATTTGCTGGACCACTAAAAGTTGAATCATAGAATATTATATATTATTGATAACAGTTCTAAGAACAAATAAATACACATACCGCAATGCTTTTTTTGTATGCCATCCGACAGAAAATAAAAATTTTGATGCAATTTGTACACTGACAAGTGCCAGTTCTTCAAGATAATCTGCCTAAATGTTTCAGAAACGAAATGATGGTTCATGAGTCAACAAAAAAGTTATCTGACACCTACCAAAATTATTCTATCTGAAGTTTGTGGTTGCAAAGTCATTAAAATGACTTGAACATTACTATGTGCCAAACGTTTCATAAATAGAAAATATTCTGGACTAAAATGTATTCTGTTATGTAAAAATCTAATATTTTGTTTTCGAACACTTCGTTGAACAAATAATGGCATTCGTTGTTGTTGATCATCTAAACCGATCATAGAAGAAAAAAAAATGAGATTAAATTTTAAAATGAAAATGTAACATCACTATCTTACAAAGATTTAATTTGGATAAATCTTTTTCTAAATTATCTTCAATTGAATCTGTTATTTGCTCATAAAACAATATATACGCGTTCCACCAGCGTCGTTGACTAGAATTGAAAAATAGAACAAAATTGTGCATAAGATTATAATTATATCATCCAATGAAAATACCGTTTCATAACAGGTTGCTCAAATGTTTGTGGTGAATAATCACCACCAAAACATTGTGAA